GATCTCACCCTCTCTACGGGTGAGAGCTCACCCGCTTTACGATCCAGGAAATGAGAATACTGTACATCAAATGGAATATTCTTTCAATCAATTTCGTTCCATCATTTTATTACGGTTTTAATTAATATCATTTATTATATTTTATTAAATTTGGATAGATTTTTCGCGATAATATCATTCACCAGCGCGTTTACTATATCAACTCGGATAATCACTACGTCGAAAGCGCTTCATCTCTCCTTTATAAGCTCAAACTTTCAGTACCGAAACTCGATGTAAAGATCCAACCACACACAAGACGAGAGATCTACTCCTTTCAACCCCTTTTGCCTTATCCGTCAGGAATATCTCGCGGAGTGGTTTAAAGTTGTAGCACGATAAAGCCTGCAGAGCTCCATCGAGAATTTATTGGCTAATCGCGTTTACTCGTCCCACAGCTTCCGTTACGCGCGCATTAGCAGTTCAATCGCTTAATAGTCGTTGCGCCTCGATATAACGTCACCGCGCTCCACAGGTTTCGGTACACGATTTTGGCTGATTATATTTCGGTGCGTCCCGTACGCAAAGTTGATCATACGCGTGAAGTTAGCCCCCCAATATTAGAAATAATTAAGTTATATTACATGATTCGATTGCACATTGTTTGCACATGATTGCACTTCTTTTGTTTTCGTTTGCACGCCTCTAGTAAAAGAGTTATTAAAAATAAAAATTTGGAGAGGCCAATTTCACATTAACCCCCCAATTTTTACAAAAATGGTTTTCAATCAACCTAATCGATAGATTTTCGTTTGCACATTTACATATAGTTTGAATTTTCATTTGCACACCTCTAGAAAAAAAGTTATATAAGTTTGGCCTCTTCAAATTTTTTTTTTTAATAACTTTTTTGCTAGAAGTGTGCAAACGAAAACAAAAGAAGTGCAATCATGTGCAAACAATGTGCAATTAAATCATGTAAAATAACTTAATTATTTCTAATATTGGGCCTAACTTCACGCGTATAAGTTGATCATCATATTTTAAATCTTTTAAATTGTCGAATAAACGATTATCGGAACAATTACAAGTTTTTCGGTATTTTTTAGAGACATATTTATGTAATAAAAAAAACAAAGAAAATAGTAAAACACTAGTATGTATGTAAAAAAATAATTTTATTTTTTAACCGTACTGTTTCATGAATATAAAAACGCAGTAAGATTTAATAAGTATTACTGACCAAATAAATGTTTTTCTTCATTGTTTACCCACCGCGCTAAAAAATTTTAAACGAGTTTTCTCAGCATCTCTACGTTTCTGACTGTGTTAAATTTCTCTGACCTCACACAGTTTCCACGGTTTTCTTGCTTTAGACTCGTTATGAGAAGACTTCGTGTGGAAACTTTGCTTTTCCACTTTTTAAGTGAGGCACACATGCCGCTCTCGCCACTCAGGATCAATTGTTATCACGTGATATAATAATAAATGCAAAAATGTAAGCAGCAACGAATTATAGCTGTTGCTTCTATCAGCTTGATACCGCCTGTTAGTGCGTGTGATAACGAGCAACAGGGTCAATTGTTTGTCTCATCGAAGACTAAATCGTGCGGTTTGCATTCGGTATCGGCCATCACCATGACCCATTATCCTAGATTGAGAAAGTTGCCGGCAGTCGAAGATAGCGATATTGACATGGGCGAACAATAGTTGAAATATGTTATACGTTGTATAACGGAGCTGAGAATTTCGCACATTGTTTCAAAACATTTTTGTTTCGAGCAATTATTGATATTTCCTTATTTATGTACGAGAATTTATTGCGTTAAAAATAAAAATTCGACGGTTTTAATCATTTTTTTTTTTGGTTTCATTTATCGATAAAACTGAATTATGTCGAATATTAATAAAACGAGCAATTTGCGTATTTAATAAAGTTAGAAATTCCATAAAAAATTGAAACACGATATATTTTAACGATATTATTCTCAATACCTGAGGCTATAAAATTATTTGCAAAATTCAGTGAACTAGATACATGTACGATGTGTATTGTATCCTTCTATTGATTTATTGCACGCATCGACTGGTTGCTTCGTATTCATTTTGGATTCTACTTGACATCAATCAAGAGATTTACTTCGCAGTCAACTCAGGAGCAAACCGTGCATGCGAATTGCAATTTCCGTAATAGTGGCGACTAAATTACAATCCGCCGTCGCACGCTAGAATCCGCAATCTTGCCCAGCCGAGTAACCGCGGTATTTGGAAACTTGCACGTCCATATACTGCAGGATCACATGTCAAACGGCGTTTGGCAACATTGGGAGACACTAGTGTTGAGTTACTCGACACGGACTAACGCGCGGACACATGTGTGTATATCTATATGATCGCAGCATTCGAGATTGCGAGACGACCAAAGTTTGTTTCACAATTCTAGAATTCCCTGATGTTAGTGTGAGAATTTCCGGATTTAAAAAAAAAGAACCGGCGAAAGCGTGTAACTTCAGACTATATTGTTCCGGGTTCTTTAAACGCATTAAATACTTCCTAAATTCAGAGCTAAAGTAATATAGCTAACTGCTAAAATATTATATTTACCGTTTTTTAGATCTTTTTTGCTATTTGCAACAATTCAATTTTGAAACAATAATTGATAAAAATTTTCCGTCATTTTATACTCGATATCCATAATGGAACAATAATTATCGCGTACGATTTTAATACATTTAGTAGAACTAATATTTTCTTTTTTGCTTAATGTAATGTTTTAAAATTTTTTCCCGTTTTTTTCTCTTACGCTGTTTGTCACATATATTACAATTACGCGGCATACATTCCGCAGTCGACGACTGCACTGGGCGGAGACCAATAAAGCGAATTGTTCACAATGTCCAAAGGCGCGAATGTCCCAGAAGAATATTGCCTCACTAAAACGCGGATTACTACCCGCGATATTCCACCGCGTCACCTTTTATCGTTATATTTATTGCCACGCCGTGCGCGAAGCATGCGTTATCGTTCGAATTTGTTGAAATTTATTTATTGAAATATGCAATTCCGAAACAGTCGTGAATACGTTCTACTTTAGAGATGATGCAACGAACGAACAACCGATGCGATAAAGTAGAGAGATATTAAAAACTAATGTCAGCGCTGTGTGCAGAATTAGATTTTATTCGCGAGTTGCGTTAGAATAAATATCCATTAAATATTAACGCGAGGAATTTTTCAACATTTAAATCGATGTAACAATATTGAAATGAATACACAAGTCGCATAACATCTGCAAGAAAGATAACAGATTATCGCATCGCGGAGTCGCGGTGTAAGCCATAAGTGAAATATGTGTTTTCTTTCGTATTTTACATCTTTGTCGCGCGAAACTTTTAACCATTGTGACGCGAACTGTCGCACGCGTATGTGTATTGCACGTCGTATTTTGCGAAGTGGCGCACGTACGGGTCCATTGCGATACTCGCCAAATAACGGATTCAAGAGAGACGACACCGAGACGTGTATACACCCGATGTAAATTCTGTTGTTGTCCCTGTAAGTATACGTCTTCTGCCATCTTCTATTACACGATACACCGCTCCAGAAAAAGAAGCGAAGATGGGATAAAAGTCTAAGAACGCGCTGTATTCAAAACAGCTTTCGCAGAAATGAAACGTTGCTTTGCATTGCCTCGGGCATCGCGTACTGTTTTAGTAAACGGAAAAATTATTGCGCAGTCGAAACTCGAAAGTACTTGCTTTCGCGTATCTTGTCACGCTTATTTCTCGTACCTTTTAACGCGTCTTCTCGAATTAGTCGTTAATTTGAAAGCTTTAATAATCCTAAAAATTATTTTTAGATTCGAAACGTGTGAGAAGGCTGAAAACGTATAATTGAAAAACCCATCCTTACAGCTTATCGCTAGTCAATCGTTGACAATATTATTTTTATTCCACGGATGGTACGATACAATACGTGCAGGAATGTATTTCTTTATTTCTGTAACAGTTCCATATTTCCCTTAAAAACAAGCTCTTTCGCAAACATCAAAAAAGAAAGATCAGAAGTTCTGCCATTCAGGTAACATTCCCCGGAATTCAGTCACGTGAATTGCATCTTTCTTGTTGCATATTTTCCTGACAGATTTTTCCGAATTTGCCACTGGCAATGGTAACTGCCAGATGAACTTTTCTCCCTCCCTCTCACACTCTCTCCACTCTTTTTTCCTCTTTTTCTTTTACCCTCTGTCTTTCTCTCTCTCTAGTCGAACCGCCGTTCTATCTAATAGTACGGCAGGTTTTGTATTCGCTGCACGCTGCGACATTTGCATTGAAATTGTTGCACCCGGCGCCGATGCGCGTTTCGCATCGTAATCCGCCTGAGCGAACGACAAGCGCCTGCGTGTAGTCGCGCAAAAACTACCGGAAAAAAGGCATTTGGTGACCGCGGCTGATAGCGAACGATGCACTGTATCGAGAGAAGGTCATGGATCACGCATGTCAATTTGTCAGGTCTCTGGAATGTCCGGTGTGTTTGGCAATTTGTACGACTAACGTGCAATTTCTTGTAGATACGTTGCGAAAGTGAAGACGGAGATATTAGATCGCAAGCCACGTCACAAGATAGATGCACCAGCGAATGTTCAATTAAGAACTTTCGTCAGACAATTAAACTTTAATAACGTTAATAATTAGTTAATTGCGAGAAAAAGAGAAAAAAAAACTGTCGGCACATAAAAGACTTGCTATGTTCGCAAAAGTTTTCACAGAAGAGTCATGAATATAAATATCTTTATACGAAAACGCTATCACGCGATTCATATTTGCGGGTCAAGTGTTATGCGATAAAGGAGGGTGGAAGAGGACTTGATCCACAAAACCTTTGAATATAAAGTGCTTTTTTTCGTAGCGATAGCGCGATCTCGAATCTAAGCGGCGTATTAGAAGCTTGGGGTTACGGTTTGCGCAATATTTCACATGAGGCTTTAAGGATCTCTCATCTGAAAAATATATCATACTCACATTCTCTTTGGTCGATGAGATCTGCCTCTTCGTTCTGCCGTGATACACTCGCGGTCTCACCAAAGTGTGTCTGCTAAAGTCTGCGGACGGACCTGTAACAATCAATTAAGTCGATTTTGAAATATCGTACTTGCAAGTTGTACAATGTAGTAAAAACTTTAAATCCTCAACTGAGCGAAAATTTACCACTTTAAGACTTTAAAATACCATAAAACTTCTAAATAAAAAAAAATAATCTTTTCCCCTTAACAAAATGATTTTGTATCTTCATAACTGTGAAGATACTTTGCGCTTTTATTTCATACTAACTTCAGTAGCTAACTTTATAAGTCAAGTGACTCTTACAGAACTACTCAAGTGTTAACAAGTGACAGGCGACGTTGAAAAAAGGCTGCATGGAAGTCTACATCGTAGTGCTTTTATGAAGCTTTTTATAAAGCTTCTACATTAGTGAATATAGCTAGTGAACATTGATGTATCGACTGAAGCTGCCTACTCCAATATTTTTTTTCCAACACCGGATATCATAGTTTTCTGTCTAAATTTACCGAATGTGCATATAAAAAAAGATACATCGTATGCAATATTTAACGCGCTGCTGAAAGATTACATTAGCGTTAAAAATTATACAACGACCGCTGATAAGCAATTGTTCGCTTGCTGACGAGGCGTTTTAATATCCATTAAACTGACATCTCTCATTATCGATAAACGAATTTTTCACTGTTACAAAAGTCCATTCTGTTGATAAAAATATTCCATTTTCCATAAAAAAAGTTGTTTTAAGTTTTTCATAATATAAATAAAAACTATGAAATATAAAAACTCGAAAATTGTTTATAAATTATCATTTATACTGACTGTAAAATTTACCATATAAAAATGATAAATTCGCAAGTGTGATCAATTTCATTCTATAAGCAGCAAAAACTTTTTAAATCAAATGTTTTTTTGCACGTGATAAACTTGAACGAAATATTTTCAATGGCGACGTCAATCGAACGCGCAGTGGAATTCATACGCAGAGCGCTCCCAAAAATCGCAAAGCTCTTTTCGCAAATAGAGCGGTTCGCATATTGAGCGACTCGCGTAATCGAGCAGAGCAATCAACAAGCGACGCATAGATAGACCTGCTCTTTGCATCGGCATGCCCGCCGCAGGAAACTGGCCCTGCTCGAACGCCATCCTCCCTTGCTGGTGGCACTTCGGTCAATGTGATTACATCGACAAAAGTCCTTGACATCGGTGCGGGCTACAACGGGTAAATTCAGCGGCTTCGGCCTGGCCTCGGTTTTCGCAAACTCAACTAACTGCGACCCCGTTCTCGTTTCCGAAGTACCGAAACTATCGATCCACCCAGTAACGTAGGAATTTGTTTTTGTCAACTTGAGCGGACAAAGTCGATGCTTCCGGGTGATATCATCCGATCATTTGCATTTGTTCGCACAAGAAGAATGCAATTCGAGACTCAACGAAGCGCGCTGTCATTCTGAAAATCTTGCAAAAGTACTGAATGTTTTCTCTAGAAGCGTTTTATACTCCAACTAAAGAATAAAATTAAATTTTCTAATATGACAAGTGTAATTAAAACAAGTTTGCAAATAAACATGATAAACATGATAAACAGGATCTTCAGTCATGCTATAACAATATTTAAAATATAAATAATTGATATGACTTATATAATAAAATTGGAGTTTTACTAGATTTATTAATTTCATATTTATCAACTGTTACTTTGGCACAATTATTTCATAAATTTCTGTACAATTATCTTCCCATTGTTATTATTAATATAATTACTAAATAATTCAAATTAAATTAACATAGCCATATTTAATTAATAATTTAACACAGCTTTACTCTTATTGATTTACCAGTTTTCATATGTTGCTGTGTTTCGAAGTATCGTAACTGTATTGCGCAGAAGAGGGCTTGGCTGACGCAATTCGTCATGCTGTCAACTATACATTAAATGCGCTAATTCTTCTCGCGTAGGTGTTAAATGAATTGAAATTATTACCTGACGTTTTCTTTGTGCCTCTCACGAATCCAGCGCGGATCTGCATTTCAATTAAATTCTGTCGCGTATAATCGATAGATATCGATAAACGCCGGATGCACGGTGAAATCGTATTCGGCATTCAATAATTATTCCTGGTTAATAAATTCTCGATATATTGACAGTCAAATTTGATCGAGAGTAACCGTTTCCGGTTTAAAAATGTCCCAAAGTACTTTATCGGTTATCGATGTACTATCTATTGAGCGAACTGTCGACGTGTTTCGAAATAAAATTCAGACCATGATTTGTTGAGTCATCCGTTTTAATATTCGGACGTAGTAATTGTAAATTGATGATTTAGTGTTTTGTTTCAATGAAAAAACTGTAACGTTTAATTTAAAAAAAAAAAAAATTAATCATCATTAGCGTGGATGTCAATTATTGCACAGGAAAAATCGAAAGATGTAAATTCTCCCATGCGATTTTATATTACTCAAGCAAATATTTGTTTTTTCCCGATTAAAATTCGAATATTTTATGAAGCTATCTCCTTTCAAGCAAATTTAACGAAAATTTATTTTCTATAAAAAATTTATTCCATAAAGTATTTTTTTTTACTTTAAGCAAATTGAATATTGCTTTGTCTACTATATGCGCGTCCATTACAGAAAAATATATATTTTCCGCTTCAAACTCGAAACAAATGTTCAAAGTTAAAATAAAAAAAATAATAAATTTTAAAATCTTTTTTCATATTGCTTTTGTTACGATTGCATACACAAAATATCGGATCCTTTGTTTGCGCAGTTTGCTTCACATGCAATTTGGCTGACAGGCCGGTGCATGGAAGCGATAATAACTTCCTAGTGATGGGCAGCAGCGACGTACGCGTTGAATCGCGATCACATTCAGGAGCGATTATCAGGTTGCGTTGTCGATTCGCGTATGGTTCTCCGTCGATCAGTTACAAAGTAGGTCAACGTGGAATTTTGATTGGCTCTTTAAAGCGCACAATGGACGATGCAAGTATCCGCGTATCCGCGGATCTGTTCGGAACCCGCGAATAGCGCGTTCGCACATGTGCGACAGCGTTTATGAGAGTGAAATTGACGTCAGTGGCGACAAAGATAAAAAGAAGTCACGCGTAAAAACGCGAATATACGAGAACGCGAGGAAACGGCGTCAATGGCCGCACGAAAAAACTACCTCGACACGACTAAAATTTTTTCGTTCGCTTTTACGTTTCGAGAAGCAAGTGCCTTTGACCCTTATCCGGGCGTTACCGGATATGAGTGTTTCTATCTGCATATAAAGCAAGAGGATGTACATATTTCTTCTCTTGGCAAATGCAATTACAAAAAATCAAATACCGATCCCCAACTTTTTATTAAATAATAATTTCAATAGAACTCGCTGTTTTCTTTGGAAATATTTAAAACAATATCCATTTACGTCGCAAAAGGAAATTTCATCAATAATATTGAAAAGCGATAAAGTCTACGGCAACAGAATTATCGTGCATGCAAAGTTAATAAAAATATCTGTCTTCAATGATACAAATACTTTTATGCAGAACAGATTAAAACAGATTAAAAATCAATGCTATTCATGTGCAATTAAAGTTTGCGGAAAAATGCAGCGAAATATTCTACCGTATCTGGAGAAATGCATCGGTATCCTAATCCGACAAATCGCAACAACGGAAATCGCTACACGCGCGTGACATGAAGGCGTCTCGTTCAAGCGCATCGTATAAAAACGTAAATATTTACGATGAAAATATTTGAATGCGCGCGATCGAATGAACTGTAATAACAACTCGCTAGCTGTTTCGATGCAACAACGAATCAGCCGGGTTTGACATGAGTTTGATAGCATGTCAAACTCGCTCGCGTCCGCCGCAAGGATACCCATTCACCGTGAAATCGCGCGCGCGCGAGAGAGAAAGAGAACACAGATGCACGGGACGAGCGCGAATTTTTGCACGCCAAACAAAAGTGATCCGCATAAGCCCGAGCTGTCGTTGCAAAATCGCGGCTTCCGGCTCGCCCGGAGCGGTGCGCGCTTTCCGCGTATTTCCGCGATGACGGGCACGCAAATTTGTTCGGACAATTCGGCCGCCCGGTTATCCGTTATTCGTTGCCGCACACGCGGATATATCCGCTACGGGCGGATATTAAATTCCCTCCCTTCCTTCTACCCATCCTCCCGCTCGCTGTCTCCGCTATACTGAGAGCATGTATCCCCGGTTAATACGGGCACTTTGCCCTACGATTAAATTCAAATAAACTCCGACCGCCGTCACACACGGCGAGCTCTGCTCGCGCGCAAATAACGGATATTTAATATTTATATAATGCCGACTAATACCGCGATGATAACTGGTTATGTACGCGGTTTTATACAAAGCACGAGGCGTGAACGCACGCTAATGAGGTTTACATTAAAGTACGAACGAAACCTGCCCGATGTCGCGTCGCATTTGTTTGGATTCGTCGGAAAAAAATAGCACAAAATTTTTTATCGGTTTAAAGAAGTCTCTGACGTTTCGCCTGCGATCACAATCATCAATTTTACAAGCCTTAAAAGAATTCTTATAAAATTCATATTACTTATATTTCGCAAAAATATATTAATAAGATGTGAAAAGCACGTTATCAAAACAATTTGCATAGCAAGTGTTTCCGGATGCGAGAAGGAAATTGCAGTGGACAAAAATCTCTGTGATTTCTAACGCACATTACAGAGAATTATCTGTACAATGCGAAATTTGTAAGAAAATAATACGGCCTTCTTGATTCTATGATGAATGTCATGAACGCGGATTGTCTTATCACCATTATTATCCTGCATGGAATTTTACACGCTTTCGAATTTCTCTGAGTGATGTTCGTGCATTACGAAACGTATACGTGGCTACGCATTCGTGACAGGTGCACTGGCGGGAACGAGTTTCTTGCTTGAACCTTCATTTCCGCGGTGCTCTCGACAATTGGCACGGGTATTTGCAAACGGTACAGCGCGAGCCGAGCGATAATTCTCTCGCGTCGATGTAATTGGACTATGTATCTCCGGCTATCACAATTA